GCATTCACAGTAACCTCGCTGACAGGGTCGGGGAAGAAAAAAAATATATATCAAAGAATGAGAGGGGGGAAAAAAAACAATACAGCAAAACACAAAAAAAAAAAAAAGCTACAGAGAGCAAAGCCCTCTCTCGTCTCCCAGACACAGCTTGAGGCGCTGCACTATCGGCTCATACAATTTGAGCTGCTGAGAGTCTGCAAACACCAGGGCTCATTAGGTTTCTGTTTACAACCTTGAGGTGAAGATGAATAAACAATGAGAGCACAATGAAGGATTCATTGGGCTAGATAGATGAGGGTCAGCTAAACTCCTGTCTGAACAGATAAAAACATAAAAACATCTTAATCTCCTCCCACTCCCTGCACACATTTGATAAGTAACTCTGCAGTCCTTCAGAATATAGATTTTAATATAATTAATTGGACCTCTGGTAATGCTTGTTGTTGTGCTTCTTCTGCCTCATGCGCAGGTTTTGCACGGGGAACCAGATCATGTTTGTATACCAGCTCGGTCGTTTTCTGTTGCGTTTTTAACAAACCACAGATAGAAAGTGGGGTTTTTTGGAATTAAGCATTTTAGCCAACTATCGACACCTGTCAGCATTATTAATGTAGATGACCAACAAGAAATGGGAAAAGTTAAGGAAATTGTTTCAGTTTGTTAATGTTTGATTTCTGTGCATGTCCATAAGAGTCATAAAACTGAATCCATTCCAAAGATAAGAAGTCTTTGCAGAAATACAGGTAGACTGCGCTTTTAAACGTCTCAACTGGGACGCGGTTTGCAGACATCGTCCCTCTCTACATGTTAAAAATCGCCACTTAATTCATCTTTTTTCTTTAAACATTTGTTTGCATATTCCCCAAACTCAAATCAACTATAGAAAGCTACAAGCCTGACGAAACTTTTCACAGAAGAAGCTATAGGCAAGACAGATGTCCCCTCTGCTTCACATCCTTCTCATTTGGTTAAGCCACTCAGGTTGTGTGCTTCTAAGTATCAGAACACACACACACACACACACTCTGACCTTTTCCTTATCATAAATCACAAACTACCGTTCTCCTGCCAGGGTTTTGTTTAACCCAATTTGTCACTAAGGACACCTCTTCCACCCTCGCTGCAGATTTTCTCAGAAGGACCGGGAGGGCAATTAGTGGGTGGATCAAAGGATGCCATCCAGAGCTCTCCTTCGCCTTGTAATCATGGACGTCCACAGCTTCTGGAGCTGATAAGTGAGGGCTACAGTTTGCCTCAGAGCACGGGCAGAAAAGTGCCACTTTTCCAACCTACAGCCCTGGATTCAGAGTGAATTCTCATCTGAAGTCGCAAAAGATGCGAGACGTTCAATTAGTCTTTTGAATCCTTTACGTTTCAATCGCATAAATCAAAGTATCAAACTGTTAAAGTTCTTGAACATTCATTATGCTAAACCGAGTGACCGGAAATACAAATTTTGGTTTTCTTTTTATTATGCACAGGGGGGAGCGGGTGAACCCTGGTGCAACGCAGACAGACTCATGTGACACATATTCACACATTGCTGTGACAGAAGCAGGTCAGCGAAGGTGTGCTGAGAATATTTGACAAATGCGCCGTCAAACACCCGCCGCTCTCGAATGATGGCCGTTTCGACTCCCTCTGTAGCATAAGAACGGGAATAATCGCAACTATTTTCTCCAAGCTGGCAATTTTTATTCAGAATTCCAGCCAACCCTCACAAAGATGACTCAACATTCAGCAGACCTACTGGCACTCACGTCAGATTGGGGAGTGAATGAAAGCAGAATGAAACATTTTCCACAGAGCACTTTTCACTCTACTGCTGCGGTCGTGTTGACTTCCTGAGGAACCAAATGCTTCCTCATATTGATGTTGGAAGCATAAACAAGATTAAGTGAATGGGAAGCTCTAGACAAACGGAGGCACGTCAATGTAATCATAAAACCACGTCGGCTCATGTGTAATCTTAGTCTAATTATATATCAGGATGCCTGCTCATCCCAAATTCTCCTTTGCAGGGACATGTTTGCCTATTGTGGCATAAGGTCACTCTATGGGTCACAGAATCATCCATGAAAAGCTTCACATCTTCATACAGACATCTTTCATGCATATGGCACATATACGGTATAAAAAAAAGTTTTAATTTGCAGAATTTTCTGATGTTCACTCAATAAAAAGACAATGTTTTCCAACTAAAAAGAATTTAAATGAATTAGAATTAAAAAGAATTGTCCTGTGTAGAAATAGAGATTAAGAGTATAGTGTCTTGCCTTCCCATGCATGAAGTTGTTGCAAAACCTAAGAGCTCCTTCAGTGACAGATTGCTGCATCTGAGGTGCAGAAAGTAGCTTCATCCCATATCCCCCCCGACCCCCCATCAGCATATACACTTTATAACCCTCACAACTCCCAATAAACTCAAACTCAATAAGTGTTTATATCAGTGCAATCTTTTTTTTTATGTCTAGTAATCTGTTGCTGCTATCAGTGCACAGATATTGTAACATTGTAATTTTGAAGTAAGCAGTATTGTTTCTTCTATGTTGTAAGATTGCACATATTGCACAAATTCTTACTGTTATTTTTTCTGTTTACTTGCAACTTTCTGTTGCTACACCTAAATGTTCCCACAGTTGGACAAAAAAAAAGATACTTATATTCCTTACTAGTAAAATTTACTGCTTAAATAGGCAAATTATAAAGCAACATTTTGACATTGTATTCAGGGAAAGCTTTTATCTCAGTAAAACTATGCTACAGTTCCTCAGATTTAAACAAAATGGAAGTAAAGTAAAAAGAAAAAAAAACACTTCTGCATTGGTATACTAATATATGAGTAAGAATAGAAGCTGTTATATTTATTTTCTTTATATAAAATGCTAAGCGGCCTTAAAATGCTTGCAAAATAGTATATCCTGTTTCTATTCCTCATAACAGCCTAAATAGGGTGGCAAAGCTGCAACAACTTCCACATCTCAGTGTAAATGATTAAACAAATAAAATCTGAAACTTCCTCTTTTTAAGCAACATATCTTTTCCCACTTGCACAACTGGCTTGGTTGATAAAGTTGAGTTAACATCTTTCGAAGCAGATGAGAAGATGCTGAAGTCGCAGCAAAACTGCAAGATCATTTTGCTGACGAGGCAACATTTCTGGCAGACAGGTGAATGGCGATGAAGCGCTCAGACCTCGGCAGGAGATTTGCATGATTGCGTTTGTGATAAAACCGCCGTTGCAAACACAAAGCACGGCCCACACTACAGAGGTGATCTATTGTTTCTTTCATCCAGAACAAATCTGAACTTAATTGTGCAAATTTACGTTTTGTTGCTTGCTTGTTTCTGCAGACCACAGTTCTGCAACAACCGAGATGTGGGCTTGCTCTGACAGGAAGCCCTCCAAATCAAATGACAGAACACCTCAGTGGATGTCTGACCAGGTGAGAATCAAAACCAGCTAATTTATTTTAAGCACTTATTGATATTCAGATTGATAATTACTGCTTAAAGCTAATGAAAAAAAGCCAATATTATGGAAGAACAATAAAACATATAGATAATACAGAAATGTTGTGCTATGGACACACATTGCTTACTCACAAACTCCAAGTGGCTTGCATACACAAACCCAGAGAGGTATGTCAAATCCTTAAAAGACTATTCCTAAAGAAGCTAGGTGGTTGCACCGTGCTGTGTCCCAAAAACACTGATGAACAGCTTAGAGGAAGGAAAAACTGGGGGTGAAAAAGCTCCAAAGCTCCAATTATCATTGTTGCTTGTACGTCTTTTTTTTATTTTATTTTTTTTTTGTACCAGACTTTTTACTTCCACTAAAACTTTACGACAGGGAGATTGATGCTGCACTCTGAACAGCCAGCTTCCTTATTAATGGCCTTTCATGAATGGCGTCACTGACAGCCTGATGGACAACTGCCAACTCAGAATTCAATCAAATAATCGTGAATACCAGAACATGGCCACGATCTAACATTTGTGTTAAGGTTATTGCTAGATCACCTGCAATAATCAGCAAATGTAACTAAATTAAAGGCTTGAAACATATCACTATGTGTGTAAGAAATGAGTTTCACTTTTATCAACTTTCAGGTGATATTCTAATTTACGTAGATTTACCAGTACATACAGCAGTGCGATGTGTGTGTGTGTGTGTGTGTGTGTGCAATCAAGAACAGAGTCTGGGGCGTAAACCAAAACCCCTCATCATCTCTTTGAAGTTTGTTTTGCACAGACTTACCTGTGACATCTGGGGCCTGAAATTGATCTCCTTCAGATCCACCGATCCGGGGGAGAGGTTATGCAACATCTGGCACAGGAGCACCCCGTCCCGCAGCGCCTGTGCCAAGTCGAACACGACCGCCGAGGGCCACACGACCCGGTGGTTCGGGGGCAGGACCTTGCAGTCTATCAACCACCGCCCGCATTGTCTCCACTCCTCCATCTCTGCTCCGGAGACTCTCCTGGCAAAACTGACCGAGCCCTGGAACTGCTTCACAGCCGGCGGAGAGCTGCGTTTCTCGGCGCACGGGCAGGCACTCTGGTCGGCTTCCTTTGCGCTCTGGGTGTCTTGATCATTCACTGTTACTTCTGTAACGACGTGATGTCACAACTTTAGGTTAACAGCAGTAAGGCGCTGAGCTCGTATCATTGCATGTCATCTCTCCTGTGGTCCCAGCATGAAGGCTAAAGAGACAAAAATTCAGGAGAATTTTCTTCTCTTCATTCTCAAAGCCAAAAAAAAAAAAAAAAAAAGTTTATTTAAAAAAACCCAGTTCCCAAACAAAAAATAATCCCAACAGCAGAGAATGTGTGCGGTGTGAAGTCTCGTTTAATACTGAACAAAGCCCGGTGTCACTTACCGCATTTGCATTTTGCGTTTCGTCACAGCTAAGCGTGCAGGGGGGGAAAAAAACATGCCAACTTTCAGTATTTTTTTTTAAGCACAAAAATAAAATTACGCAGAGAAGTGAAGACAGAGGGAACAGCAGCTCAGTCCACAGCCTACACGTCGCTCACAAGGAGCGGAAACATGTCCAGCGGGAACAAAAAACAGAGGAGCTCGTGTTTACATTCTCCTCCGTTAAACGTCACGTTTCTGATACTTTGTATCGAACCTAAGCGCACGCGCCAAAACACCGTGGTACAGATTTACAGCCCCTGTTCTCTTCCGCTCCCTTTCCTCACGCGCTTCTCTCCCTCTCACTGGTTTCTTTTGGCAACGAGATGTTTCTGCGGTCCCAACTGCAACCCACTGCTCACATTTGACCCGTTGTGCCCCGTTTCAGATTCGTTCCAGACCCGGGAGATGAAATGAGCTCACAGCTTCCCGGTGGTTATCTCCTGCGAACTTACAACACGAACAGTGTGTCCCGACTTTCCCAAAGTGGATCCATACTCCATACAACAAAAAAAAACAAACAAAAAAAAAACAGAGAGAGACATGGGAGTTTCAGTGTTTTGGAAGTAGGAAAGTGAGAGTTGTCTATCGCCCCCTGATGGATAATGTGCAAACTGCAGGCGTTCAATTAAGATTTTGTTTGCTCACTGATTATAAATAAATGGAAGTGAAACATTATGTAAGTGCAAACTTAATTAACTATTTAGAAAACATTTATTTAACAGAAAAAAACATGAATGGAGAAATAGCAAAGGTATACCTGTACAACTCCTTATTTGTAAAGCTTTGGGTTTAACTTCAGCTGTTATTGCTTGGTAGGAGTCTATGCGCACGGACATCTTGTCTTTAAAAAGTTCTACCCAATCAGATCGGGAGGTCATCTCTTCTGTACAGTTAGTTAGTTAGCACTGGACTCAGTTATGTTATTCCAAAACTGCAATTTTCCTTTTATGAAGCCATTTTTTGTTGATTTGGGTGTATGCTTGTGATGTCGGAAAAATCTATCTTTATTTCCACCTTTCTAACAAACATGTAAAGGTTTTGGAAGTGTTTTTATTTTCATCCATATATCAAAAACCTCAGTTTCATAAAAAGAGAAGTCACCGGCCTCATGTTCCACCCTCATAGCACTTCCTCCCACACAGTTCTTTGACATTTTAACCAAGCGTGGATGTTTTCTTTCAAATCAAAATCTTTCATTTTTAAACACTATCAATTAGTCCAGACAGGTGATAATCTTTACATGCATGTCCTGTGATTTCCATTTTATGTTAAAAATCTCCTTGCAGTAAAAAGTGGCATCATGGGGTCAGTGTCCATGACAACCAAAGATTGGTTTGAAGGAAAAATAAATAAAAAGCAATAACCTTACAGAATCATGCACACCCTTCAACCACTACTTTCCTAAAGCACCTTTTGATTCAATTTTAGCATTCATCCTGCTTCGGTCGCAGTCTAGCAACGCTCCATCTCTTCTTGGTAATATCTCCCCGCTCTGTCTTGCAAACTCTCTCCGAATCCATCAGACAGTGAAGACATTACATGCCGACAGCCATCTTCATGAAACCCTAACAGATTTTCAGTTGAATTTGTTTCTGGACTCTGGCTCAGCCACGGCAAAACTTTATTTGTTCTTCTTCACTCATGTCATCCTTCTAAAATGAATTCGGATTGTAGATCACGTTTGGACTCACAATCATTATGAAAAATAAAATCCCTCTTTATCTTCAGGTTTCCAGCAGGCATTTATTTCACAGCCCTGGATACATGGAAAGCAGAGGAGACTGTTGTCACATGCAGAACAAAACTAGTCATTGTTGGAAATTCCTGCAATTCCTTTAACATTGCTGTCAGCCTCATGGTAGCCTGCCTGGTCATCGCCATGTTGTCCTTTCAGTAAAATTGTCAAACTGTCCAGTTTTCATAATGTTCATAGCCTCTTTCAGATCATATTTTTGCTGAAGCATGAGCACACACCGATCAGAGGCGTCACATGCACCGTATTGCGATGTTCAATTAATAACAAACAGAATAATATGATGCAGACAGCGGACAATAAGTGCTGCACGACAAACTTGTATTAAAAACGGATGAATAGAGAATCATGTTGTTCCAAAATTACTATTGTTTGTTGCATATCCAAAAAACAATAAAATAAATTGTGCTTATACTACAGCCGAATAAAAAAACATAAGTAGCACTGGAGACAATGCATTGCATATGCCAGGCCTGTAGGAGGCGATGTTTCATTCTTGGGTGAACAGACTTATATAGTTTATATGTGGGAAAAGTGTTCTGTCAGTAATTAACTTTTATTAATCAAAGCAAAAATCGCATATGAGGCACCCCAAAGTTCCATCTTTGGGTCCTTCTTCTTTAATATCTACATGATCCCGTCAGCTCTCATTATAACTACTAAAAAGAATAGACCATATGCAGATGATACACAGCTCTACATTACAATGTGACCAGGTGACCATGAACCATTCAAACACTGAGCAGATGCACAGACCAGATCAATGCCTTGATGTGCCATAACTTTCTTCAGCAGAACAGAAACAAAACCAAGGTAATTATTTTTGGACCTAAAGAGGAAAAATTAAGAGTCAACACACACAAAAATGCGAGTTTATATTTTAACTCTGCCAGAAGGTCTAATAATATTCTGTTTAAATTATAATTCCCTCTTTTTTATAATATTGGTCATTTTTTTTTTTGCTGTTATTTAGAAACTGCTTTGTGAAATTCTTAATCTGAACTGTGTATTTGATAGCAGACGACTGATCACTCAGTCAGATATTTCAAGCTGATGAAAGCCAATTTCTACCTCGGGCTAAATCTGAGATAAATCCACCCAATCTTCCATCAGCGTTGTTTTTAAACACAGCGAGTAAACAGATATTACAGCACAGAGTGCAGCATGAAATGTTTAAAAGAGCTAGATTATTTTACTTTTTTTTTTTTTTTACCCCTGTAGCGTTAGTGGAGCCAAAACAAGAAGAGTTATTGGATTTTAGTCCAGGAGGCGATTGAATGCCAGTGCTGCTGGTATTTAAAACTTACACCTGCTGCCTCTAAAGTGTTCCAAATATCAGCTCATGCAAGCTTAAGTTTCCCCACTTTGGTTTTCATCTGGCAGGTCAATATGTTGTTCATGTCTGCCATACTTTACGGGGGAAAAAAAGAGAGAAAAATCTATGCCCTCTTCTTTATTCTCTCTAAAATCTATTACAGCCGATGCCTGCTGTGATTCAGCAGAGTCGACAGCTTTTTGCTGTTGCTTTCCTTTCCAAATATTTCACTCCTGCTCCGATCGTGTAGGTTGGAGGTTTTTTTTTTTTTTCCATTTCTGCCGAAATGTCATTTTTGTAAATCAAACAGTCACAACTGGTCAATTAAACACTTAATTGCCACTAACATCAGTATGCCACCTGTTCATGGTTAAATGGCTTTTGTCATGTCTCATTACACTCTCTGCTCACTCATCGCTGCGCCTCCCCAGCTCCAGGATTCCCACTGGGACGGAACATTTTTAGCCAATTTATCTTCCGGCTCAAAACAAAGCTGGCTTTTCTCCACACACATGACCAAGCATATCTGTTTTAGATGATTCATGTGCCTTGATTTTTTTTATTTTTTATTTTTTTACATTTGGTTAACCACAAATATTCATCTGTTTTGATAGTTTATGTGATTGAGCAACACAAACTTTGGGCTATGGGAGTAAAAAGCAGATCCTGCCTGTAAACAGCCATCACCATCTATGAGCTACATGTAATTTCTATTTGGTATCCATACAGTATTTTTGAAGTTGACTTGAATTTCATCATTTTTTCCTTTCACTTCCTACTTAAGCTCTTCTTTGTGTTGGTCTGGTGGATACAATTTTATGAAGATACGTCCGTCTAACTTGACAAAATGTGAAGTCGAGGAGGCATGAAAACTTGCTAGGAGCTAAATGTGAAATGAAAGCTTTGGAAAATGTCCTTCTTTGTGGTTTCCCTGATGTTACAACCTTTTAGCGAAGGCTTCCCTGAACTTCCAACAGCCCTGACATTTAACAGGCCCTGATATCAGCACAGAAAATGACTGTTAATGAGAGCCGAGGCTGTGTTTTAATGCACCTCATTATATCACAGCAAGACATTTAACTCTGCGAGCTTCAATATGCAGTGCTATTCTCATGAAGACGAGGGAGTTGCATAAAAGGATGGCCTTTGCACAGTGAAATCTGTGATGTATAAATACTCTTTGAGTGTGGCCACGGAGCCGTGAGATCACTTAACCTTTAAGGGCTTTTTCTCATCCTGTGAGCCTAAAACGTGGCTTTTAAGCCTTCGTGCAGCCGGTTTGTTCACTGCGAGCTGTGTTGCTATGCTGACAGGGAATCAGTGTCAGGGAAGAGACAGAGAATCAACTTGCAGCTATTTCCAAGGAATTTTGTGGCTTTCAGCACCACCAGACTGTGGTTCTAAAGCAATTATGGCAATATGCTGCTCTCAACAGTTTCTATTAAAAGTAAACAATCTAAATCTTCTCAAGACAGACGCACCAAGGCCAAATTATGTCAGGAAAATACAAGGGGGTGAAGGGGGGGGGGTACCCATTTAAGGCTTGTTTGGTTTCATCCATGCTCCAGGGCTGCATGATTAGGAGTTTTATTACACTGTCACTGGAGGAAGTGGTCCGGAGTGAGTGATGGACCTGAGCAAGTGGCATGCAGTGAAGGACTAAAGGAGTCATAAACGGAAAGAAGCAAAGGACAGACACAAAGAATCAAAGAATGAAGTAAAAAAAAAAAATCAACATAAATTAATACTTAATTAAACAAATGAATGAATGCATAAAACAAATAATGCACAGCATAAACAAGCCAACAAACAAATAGCAATAAAATTCAAGTATAAATATAAAATAAGTAATGAATGAAGATGGAATAAACTACAACAGATTAAAAAAAAATACCTAAACAAATAAATAATTTTAATTACAAAGTAAAAAAAAATATTTTTTGGAATAAACTACTACAATAAATAAATAAATAAATAAATAAATAAATAAATAAATAAATAAATGTACTCATGCCTGGCAAAGAGATGAGGTGTGATAAACAGTGCCTATCTGCTCCAGATTCAGCCCGGAGCTGCAGGTTCAGTGTCATTGTTTGTTTCCTTAGCAGCTTCCTGGACTGAGCATGCTCTGTGCATTTGAAACAAGTCTTTAAAAATCTACCAGTTCAGCAAAACCTCTCCAACCATAAGTAATGGCTTTAGAACAGACTAATAAGCACCATAAAGCCTCAAACAAATTGAGCATATTGAGCAGAAGAGGCTCCGGCTTCCAGAGAACAGTATCAGCTAATTTTCAATTAAGATGCCACATTAGTATGAACCGAGCTCCAAACAGAAGTGTGTTCACCTGGATTTCGCTCCGCGGCTCTCGATCAGAGCAGCATTGACAGAAAGCCCACAGTAACTGTGTTTTCATTTGCTTCCCGCTGGTTTCGGATGGGGTGTTAAAAGAAA